AACAGCGAAGTTTCATAATCCAACATGGCAGCTTTTATCATGACTAGAGCTTAAACGTATTGTTTGTTAAATGGGAAATTGAATTAGTGTTCCTGATAAAAACAAAAGAAAAGAAAAAAGCTTGCTAACCTGAAGGTCCAGTGTTCAATCCTGGCTTAGGTCGACATAATACCTTCAGATTTTTCAACACAGTTTCCCTCTGTCAGTGATGTTAGATGCTTGCTAGCTAACCTGAAGGTCCAGGGTTCAATCCTAGCATAGGTCAAGATAATACCTTCAGATTTTTCAACCCAGTTTCTCCCTGTCAGTGACGCTTGCTCGCTAACCTGAAGGTCCAGGGTTCAATCCTAGCATAGGTTGAGATAATAACTTCAGATTTTTCAACCCAGTTTTCCCCTGTCAGTGAGTTAGACGCTTGCTCGCTAACCTGAAGGTCCAGGGTTATATCCTGACAGTGATGTAGGTAAGAGGGGCTGACAAGATCCTGTGTACTACAGACTGTGCACGTTAAAGATCCCTTGACAGTTGGAAATGCTAATGCTGCTGTCCTGACAAAATTCTACTTATGTAGTCGAGGAAGAGATTCAAAATGGTTGTGAATTACGTTTGTGTGTGTTATTTTGCCAGGAAAGTTTTGATTTGGATGAATATATTTTGTGTATTTGTTATATTTTAGACTGATATGACAGGGAATCAGATGAAAGCTTTAGAATCACGATCTGTATCAGATATAGAACAGAAAGACAGTCGAATTGATGATCTAGTAAGGGTAAGTATACATGGCACTCGATTGGTTAGTTCTGCATAGCTTCCGTCTTTTCCAATTCTAGCCTTCCCCCTGTCAGTGATGTAGGTAAGTGGGCCTGACATAGAAAAAGTGTCTAGTTGTTCAGATGGGACAATAAACCGAGGCCCCGTGTACTACAGGCTGTACACGTTAAAAATCCCTCGACAGTTAGAAATTGAAAAAGAACAGGCTAATGCCAGTGTCTTTCCTCATTGTACACTGCATGGTGTTACGGTCTTCATTAGCCCACATGGTGCAGAAAAGTAGGACGTTAAACTCCATTCATTTCATTTCATTTCCTCAATTGAACGTATGAAAGCGGAACATGTCACAAGTTTTCTACAGCAGTCCCGCTCGAATTTCGGACCCATTTTTTGATAACAATTACCAATTGTGGGATAGC